CTTTGTTGTGGGTACATCTCTTGGTGCCTGTGATGATTTTGACGAGTACAATAGGTTGAGTGCAACTGATCGATAGATTTAAGTTTGTGACGAATAGTGTACATTTATACCAGATAAATTGTCTATCCTTTATAGTTTTTGTTTACATTTATTTTTTGTTGATACCTTTTCCTTTCAACCCATTTATGCCTAAACTCATTAACGATATAATTTTAAAATGCCGAATCAATAACCAATCTCTGTGGACACGATATTATATAATCTAAATATTACCCGGTAAATTAATAACTTTACATTTTGTTGCTATTGTAGAGTGGAAAACAAAATGATGTTGTTGTCGGGGATTGGTGTTTATTATTTTACGTTGTGATAACTTCTTTGTTTTTTACTTTTGTAATTAATGTATATGTTGTATAGAATATGTACATAAACTTGTCTATTTTTACTTGTACATGTTTTGTGTTTACTTTCCATACTTGTGCATATATGTGTTTTTCTTTGTTTTCACGTATTGTTGTGAATTGTCTCGTTTTTGTAATGTTTGTTGTATGGATGTTAGGAAACTTTCTTTAGATTTGCGCGGTGTGACAGTACCATGGCATGACGAGAGGAGGTTACTAGCTCTCACAATAAAGGCGCCGAGCTTACAACCTAAAACAAGCAAGTTTTTGTTTGTATTCGTTTATGTATGTGTTGACTTGTGTTTTAGCAAGTTGGAATTGGACCTGTTTTAAATTCACTTTCACCCAATTATTTCGTTATGTCAATTTGTGTTTTTCGCAAGCTTGTCGTGTTTAGCTTGAGGAAGTTTGTATGTTGTAAATATTCTATACATTATGGTTGTGTAGGTGTAAGTGGAGCTTGCATAACAACTGCACCAGTTGTCCTATTTTTCTGCAACTGGTGTAGCGCGCTTAGCGCGCTCTGTGCCGCTTAGCGCACTCTGTTGTGCAGAGCCAATGAATTCTTTTTAATCTTTCGCTTGGTTTTTCTTTTTTCCCACTTTCACCTAGGCTTTAAATAGTAAATAATATTAGTATAATTAATTATTTTGTTGTTGTTTAAAATCAAATTTTGGTTCGACAGCTTGAAGTCGCTTTTGATGATTTTCTAAGTTTGAGTGTTTCAACTTGTGAATGCGTGGTAATGATTTTGTTAAAGTTTTGTACATGTTCGAGGTGTGTGTTTATTGCTTCCTATACATTAGCATATTCATGATACTTAGACTTTTTACAATTTTTATGTCATTCATTCTTTTGTATACTTGTTCATTTGTGAATTACTTTAGTTCCTACCCTTTTTGTGAGGTAGCTTTCCATTATTCACATATGTTGGAGACCACAACTCTTGTTTTAACTGGATTTTATTATGCTTAATCTTTTGTTTGTATTGTTTGTATTAAAGCATGAACATGATCAAGGCATTTTTTTTGTTCCATTTTGAGAACAACTACCTTGGCCAAATAAGTCAACTCACCTTGTGAGTGTGTGATCATTAGTAACCCCTTTGAGCTTTTTATTGATATTCATGTTGTATTTGCTAAATGCTTGTCTATGAGTGTTTAATTTCCCTTTTTGCATGGATGTTGATTCATTGTTTTCTTGAACCCTCAAACATTATTTTGGGTTGAATTTTTACCTTGCCTTGGAAAGTAGGGAGTATTCACTTTAATGTATGGTTGAATTTAAGTTGGGGAGAAAACTGATTGTGTATTTATTGGTTGATTGCTATGAGGTTGAAAAGAAAAAGAGGAAAAAAATGTGAAAAAGAAGTAAATAGAAAAATAAAGAAAAAAATGAAGAAAAAAAGTTTTGAAAAATAAAAATAAAAAGAGTTCGAATAATAGTGCTAATAAGTGATGTGTGTTGGTTTGAAATTTGGAATAAAGAAGAAGTTCGATTGGAATTATTTTGCTTGAGTCTTTGTGAGTTGATCACTCCCTTAAGTTTATGAAGTTTTTGTTTCGATTAGATTTAGGATTTATCCCTTTTTTGTTAACCAAGCCACATTATAACCTTGAAAAATCCTTGAGACTCTTGCCTTTGTATTTTCAATATGAATTTTTGGATGAATGCATAATTTAGTCTTTTGTTTGCAAGATTGTGGATGAGTGAAAATACCTTATTTTGTGTGTTTTTCATCTACCGATGATTGTTTTTGCTAGGTGTGATTAAATTGTGAACTAGTTTTATTTTAGAATGTTTGGAATGTTCTTTGTATTTAGCATGCGTTTCGTGTTTATGTTATCGTCGTAGTTTAGTGGTGAGTATGTTTCTTCGTGTGTATCGTTTTTCATTTGAACCATTGAATTTGTTTTCGATTTACAAAACTTGTTGATTCATAATATTTTGGTTGATTAGTTTTGGTTCTTTGAGTTGTTTGACTTTGTTTGAGGATAAACAAGTTCAAGTTGGGGAGAGTTTGATAAGTGCAAATTGTAGCTATTTTTGTAAATACTTTTTGTTGCACTTATTGACTTTTTATTGTTAATATCGTTGAATAATTCCCCGATTGCATGATTATGTATAAATTGTATTTAATTGATTTTTTGTGTATTTGTGTACCGTTTGATAGTTTTCCATTCATTTTATAGGTATTGATGCGTATTTGGAGCATGAGCAATAAAGTGTCGAAGACACGGTTTCAAATGCGCGATTTTGAGCAACTCGTCAACGAGTAAGGCTAAAAACAAAAGAATAAGAAAAAATAAATTTGGTTGATATTTAGGAATTGTTAGATAGATAATTGAATAATCTTTTCAATGCTTTGAACCGGGCGTAAATCGGAGTTACGGTTTCTCAAGTTATGGCGAAAACAAAAAATTAGTTTTTTTCTCATGACGGTAGAGCACGCTTAGCAGGATTGTGCCGCTTAGCACGGTTCCCTGAACAGAATTGCATTAAAAGGGCCAAAATATACATTTTTTAGGTTATGAATTCCTTGGGTAGAATTCACGAATTTCGCGGGGAATAGATGAATGTCACGGTCAAATTCATGAATTTTGCGAAGAAGAAATGAATATCACGAGCCCACTCGCAAATATTACGCATGAATGTATGAACACCCCGAGCAAAAACCCCCCGGTAGCGAAATTCTATAAAGAATCGTCAATAAAGTCAACCGTAAATAACATTCAGTATGGAAAACACTTACTTGATCAGAGTAGGTGAAGAATCTGTGGCGGATCTTATGACGACATTGACGGTGGCAAGACAGAGAAATGGTACAGGCGACAAAGAAAGTGGAGAGAGAAAAAAGTTGAAATGTGGGAAATGGGCCCTAAGGTACTATATATATGGCTGATGTGGAATACAAAGCGTCGCGTCGGGCAGCCCATCGACCGCCTTTCTCCTCGCCGCCTACTCGCTCAGATAATAATGACCCCTACTCCATAGGCCATCATTACTATCCCAAAGGTCACTCCACGTGCCCACATCCTGCGAGGTTTCCTCTCCCCGTGAGTCGAGGAACAACTGAAACGTTCCCCATCAAGTTAATTCCAACCTCTGCTCGAGTAACCGTGCATCCTAACGACCCTCTCCCTCGATGCAGTAAAAGATCCCCGGCGGAATTATGTTCGCCGTAAGGAGAAGTTGGACTTAAGTCATAACTCCTTCATCAGGAGCAACGACTTAGGGGCTTCTGTTTTGGACCGAGTCTACACTTGAACTAACTTCGTACGAGGCCCAATCCAACTATACTGCTCAAGAAGGCCTGTTGACTGAGCCTGCCCTCAACTATGTCAGGCAACAACCTCACCCTTCGAGAAAACACGGCTTCGTCGTACAGGGATAAATCCAGGAGTTGCGAGGAGGCTCGTCGTCGGTCAGGAGGACCTCACGGGCATCCTCCACTCTTCTCGTCAACCAAGACAAGCCCTCTTGGATGACCTTACAGCTGGCGGAGAGCGTCCACGACGGACAAAAGGAAAGCGCGAGCATCCTCCTCGTAGGGTTGACTCTCAACACCCTCGAATATCACGGAGTCCTCTTGGGCATCCATATGCTCTTGACAATTTGGGGGAGTCCATCCAAACTGGGGACCACGTGCTGGCCCCCACTACGTACGTAGGACCTGACAGTCTCCATTTTAGGCCTGTTTTCCCAGCTCAACGATGGAGACTTTGCCTCAGCACTGGGGGCTATAAATACTCTCTCTCTCTTGAGAGGGTCAGATATTCATTCTTTCATACTCACTCTCATACTTGCTCGCGCTGCTCTAAATCTTACTTTGATATCGGATTGTCTTACAGGTATCCCCTATCTCATCTCCAGCAGTTGCTCAACTCACAGCTCGTAGACTTTGACGATCCATTCTAATCAGATACGATCATATAATAAAATCGCAATACACGACACCTGACAACACACTATTGGACCGTTAATTACATTCTACATATAGTTTTGAATTCCTTCTAACAAAAAAATCAAATAAAACTCTTTAATTTTATTAACTAAATTTTATTATATTCTTAACTTTAAAATATTATAAAAAAATTTAGTTTTGATAATATTTCTTATTTGGAGCCTATCGATTACAATAATTGTTTTAAGACGACTTAGATAGTGACTTACTATCTAATTTTTACACTAGAGTAAGTATAGCCTCAAAGTTTTGAATTTTAAATTTTAGATATTGTTTGTCAAAATACCTATGAAGATATTACAAAACCATTCATCAAAATAGGTAGAACAATATGAACGGTTATACTACATTTCTAAAAATGAATTTCCAATTTTAAATTAAAAACACCAACTATTCCCAAAAAAAAATCATCTAATCAATCGCACTTTGTTCATTTTTGTTTAAACAAATCATCTATTCTTTTCACCAAAAGTTGATTAATTCTCCACGTTTTTGACAATTTATATAACCATAACAATATCAAGGTAAGAAAACATTAAACTATAAAAATCTTAGAAAGTGCAAATCAACATCAACCTTCCCTATAAAAAAACAACACCACACTATTTCTAAAACAGCACAAGTGAGGTGCAACAATGGATGATAAGCTAGCAACATCCCCAAAAGAACAGCATGGTGGTTGGAGAACTTTCCCCTTCTTCATTGGTCTCTCTCTTCTTTAATCTTCTAACACAAGAATATTATTCACTCACTTTTACACATCAAAATGTTCTCCAGAACAAAGTATGATCATGTTGTTCTCTTTTATATAGGTATGGTGGCGGGGTTATCGCTTGCAAGTGCAGGAATTGTTGGAAATTTAATTGTTTATCTTATACAAGAATTCAATATAAAGAGCATCGATGCTGCTCAGATTGTAAACGTGGTTGCCGGAAGCTCGAGTCTAGTTCCAATAGTTGCTGCAATTGTTGCTGATTCTTTCTTTGGCTCTTTCTCTGTTGCCTTTGCTTCTTCTTGTGTTTCTTTGCTGGTAAACTACTACATCTATATCTAAACCTATTTAATATTATGTTAGCTTGCATTTTGCTTATTTATTTTTTATCTCAAAATAAACTAATTAAAGAATATTTAGTTTATTAGATTTTTTTTTGAATAAAATTGATTTTTTTAATTCATTGGTAAATGATTTGTTCGTCTAAATATATAGATAAAATAAATCGGTTGTTCATTTATTTTATTTAAATTTTTATAAATAAAATTAATTTTTTTAATTCATTGATAAATGATGTATTCTGTCTAATTATATAGATTAAATAAATCAAAATCAGTTGTTTAAGTTAAATTTATTTATAATAATCATCTAATATAATATTTAAAAAAATTACAACAAAATTTATACCACAAGTTGAGATAACACTACATTTATATATAATTTTCACTTTTTTAATAATTTTTTTAATTTATTTCCAAATCTATTATATTTTACACTCATTCTCTATTATTTAAAAAATAGTTTTTAAATTTATTAAATATTTTATATATTTATTATTTAATAAATTTAAAAAATATATTTTTTTATAGTAAAAACTAGAAGTGGGTGATTGTATTATTGGTGTTGTTTAGATACCTACAAATGTGTCTTAAAATAGCTTATCTTAAGATTAAATTAAGAATACATTTTTATAAAATGAAAAATATGAAATAAACTTTTAATCCACCAACCATTATTAATTTATAGGGTTAAATATATATTTTTGTCCCAATTATTAAATTTTGTTTTTAGTCCCAATAAAAATACTTGCATGTTTTATTAGTTCTTATAAAATTATTATACACTTAATTTTAGTCCTGATTGTTAAACTGATGTGTATTTTTAAATGATTATTTTACAAACATATTTAGAATGTTATAAAAAATTCCTCGAAAAAAGAATTCAAAATTTGATTTCTAAATCGAGATTTTCATTACTTTTATTAATATCTTTTAAAATTTTAAAAATTCATATTTAACTTTTCTCATTTTAAAAAATTCTAAAATTTGATAAATAAATATTTTATAATATTTTAAACATTTATGAAAAAAAGTTATACAAAAATTTAAAAATTTAAAAGTAATTAAACAGTTTTCAAAATTTTAGAAAATAATATAACTATAAGCACATGAATAAAATTTTTGTAAAGATTAAAATATGTTATTTTTTTAATAAGGACTAAAAATGAAATTTGAAATATTAATAGGGATCAAAAACATATTTAACCCCTAATTTATATATAAGTTTAATAATGATGAAATAATTGAACATCAATGATTAACGAAAAGTCTTCTTATATCTCCTTTTTTTAATAGATAACCACACATTATGAAAATAATAATCTTTCAATCATTTTGATTTTAATTAATTATTTCAAGAGATTTTTTTCCAAGAAGTTTCCATCACGATCTGATTGAAAAGACAGGTTAAAAACATGTTACTAGTCAAACTTATTCTACTCAACTCAATGGAATCTATTGAGATTCTTTCTTAGTTTTTCATATTTGATACTGCAGGGAACAGTTATTTTATTTTTGACAGCAACAATCAGTTCAGTAAAGCCTCATCCATGCAGCAACGGTTCATCTTCCACATGCAAACAACCAACAACAATCCAATACACTGTTCTATACATAAGCATAGTCCTAATATCAATTGGTTTCGGAGGTTCGCGTTTCACGTCAGCATCGCTAGGTGCAAACCAGTTTGATAAACCGGAACATCAAGGAATATTTTTCAACTGGTTTTTTTTCGCGTTCTATGTCGCCTCTGGAGCTGCATTAACCGGTGTTATATATATTGAGGATAATTTTGGTTGGGCTTTAGGATTTGGTGTTTGTGCTGTTGCTACTTTTCTTAGTGTGGTTGTTTTTTTGTCGGGTTATGGATTTTATCGAAATGATAAGCCTAATGGAAGTGCTGTTTTGGATCTGGGACGCGTTTTTGTTGCTAGTTTAAGGAAGGGGAAGGGGAAGCAGTCATCCAGAATGGAAGATTACTATACTGGTGCTACTGGTTATGACGATATTATTCAAATTCTGCCTCCAACAACACCAGGAAAAAGATTAAGGTACTAAGAACTGTTTCATTTGTTTCACTGTTTGTGAGTCCATTGTTGTGATGATTATCTTTCCATTTCTGCTTCAATAAGAGACAGGAAACAACAATGTCACAGATAGTGGGCAGCTGTTTTTTTATGGTAGACCCTATTATTTGGAAAAGTCTAGGTGGTGAGAAATTATTATAATAGTAGAAAATGGATTAGATTTCAGCATATTCTTACATCATGCTCCAATAGCATGTGATACGGTAGTAGTAGTGGGAAATTATTTAGTGAATAGTGGTCAGAATTTTGTCTATAGTTGTAGCTGCTAAGATAGAGAGTGTGGAGTGGGCAACTTTTAGTAATGGCCACAGATGTTGATAGTTGTAGTAGTTAAGATAAGCTAGTGGACACAATTCATGTAAAAGTCAAAGCCGTGTGTGTACATTTCGGATTCTCCCTCTATTCGTCCTTTTTTTTTTAGCCTCTTGCTTAAGGGTTTGGGTACATCCCAAACCCTTAACATAACTTCCGAAAACTTAAAACCGCCCTGGTAAAAGTACTTGAGTTTTTCTCCGTCGATTTTCTCAGATGAAATGGACTCATTAAGCCCTTAACACTCTAGGCCCTTAGACTTAAATGACTAAATGAGTCCAGAGCAATGAGGAAACGTCTATAATAAGAACTACAAATGATATTTATAGACCAAGATACCAGATCCTAGATCCAGCCTCAACAAGTCTTAACATTGCATATAATCTATCAACAAAAGAATATTAAATTTAAATCGAAGCTATAGTGAGTATGAGCAGAAGACCGAACCATCTATACCGACTTTTATAGGCTTATTTGTTTCATTTCTTAGTTAGACTAATAGAAATTAGAAGTTCCAGAGACTTGGCATGGAAAGGTTCTGCTATATCAACATTGTTCTGATGTATATGCAAATGCAGGTTCTTCAACCGCGCAGCTCTGATAACCGATGCAGACCTACACTCAGACGGCACAATTAAGAAATCATCATGGAGGCTATGCACACTTCAACAAGTCGAAGATTTCAAAAAAATAATCGGAATCTTACCGCTATGGACTTCAAGTATATTCCTCGCGACTCCAATAGCAATCCAAAGTAGCTTGACAGTACTTCAAGCTTTAGTCACGGATCGTTCTTTAGGATCACATTTCAAAATCCCGGCTGGTTCTGTTTCTGTTATAATCTTAATATCAACAGCCATCTTCCTCACTTTTCTCGACAGGTTAATATTGCCAGGTTGGCATAAGGTTACTGGAAAATCGCCTACGCCTCTCCAACGAATAGGAGTCGGGCACGTGTTGAATGTTCTTAGCATGGTTGCTTCTGCTCTTGTTGAATCAAAGAGACTCAAATTAGGACATGAGCATGTTTCCATGTCTGTGTTATGGTTGTTTCCGCAGTTAGTGCTTGTTGGTGTTGGAGAAGCTTTTCATTTTCCTGGACAAGTTACATTCTATTACCAACAATTTCCACAATCACTTAGAACCACATCAACTGCAATGATTTCAATGCTTATAGGGATTGCTTTTTACCTGAGCACTGCTTTAATCGACCAAGTTCGTAGGAGTACTGAATGGTTACCTGATGATATAAATCATGGGAAAGTAGACAATGTGTACTGGATGTTAGTTCTGTTTGGAGGTATAAACTTTGTGTATTACTTACTGTGCTCTATTACTTACAAGTATGAAAATGTTTAGGAGAATGTGATGTTATGATAAATGTTATCGCTGTTATGGTTGGAATAAGTATCAATGTTAAGCTTAGATCGACAATAATATACATAGCGTTATGAAATGAAGCGACTATACAAGAGTTACCTCAGAGGACAGACCGCGACTATACAAGAGTTACCTCAGAGGACAGACAAAGATCGCATTCACATTGCGAGAAAGATTATTCGCACATACCAAATATACACTTGTTTTATTTATTTTATGCCTGTATACATAGTATCTGAATTCGCCTACAATAGACTAGGACTTCAAACTTCATCCGAAACAATCTCGACTTTATATTGCATACCAATCTATTCCATAATGATGTTTGTTAGCATATGGTATTCCTTGGTTAAAAACAATGAGGCTAACATCATTTTCTAAGGAATTAGTCAGCACAAAAACAAGAACTGTTTCTTTATGCTTTAGCTGATGTTGCAATCCCTGGAATTTGCAGAAGAATCCTCTTTAGCTGATGTTGCAATCCCTGGAATTTGCAGAAGAATCCTCTTCAGAAGATAGATCGCCCTCTAACAATCCTAAAAGATACTTCTCTTCATCTTCGTCGTCACTCACAATATCCGTGCTATTATGTCTTCTTTCAATGTACGACAATGTTTGCCGCCTCTGCAGGCGAAGAACGTGCATTATAACATCAGGAGTAAGAGTGACACGTGACCGATCTTCCCTTCCCTGTCTGTTTGCCTCAATTATCTGTTCGTGCGAATTAACGATCAGAAAGTTGCAATCAATAAATAAAGTAAACCAGGTTTTACAAATATAAATAGCATATTCAGCACTAAACATATGGATCAAATCAAATTCCCAATAGCATTAACCATATCTTTCGATCATACCTCTTTCGCGTTAGAAGGAAGTGGAGGAGTATCTCTCCCTAGAGGAGCCCATATTTTCACATTTTTTTCTATGCCACAAGTAGCTAGAAAGGGTATGTGAGGATGGGGCTCAAGTTGGTTTACGACATGTTGATCACCTACCATTAATCTCACCAGCTTAGCATCTTTCTTCTTCCAGATGAATATATGTCCACAATCTGAGCCACTCAACACATACTCATCATTAGGGCCGAAAAAATTCACTCCTTTAACCGTCTGTGCATTTCTATGTCCCGAGTAAACTCGAGCCTCTTGAAGATTCTTCGGATCTTCAGATGCAACAGATGAAGGCAAAGGATTGAAGCCTGCATTCTTCTCAAACAGATAGATGAGCTCGTCGTTATAAGAGACAAGGAGTTCACTTGACTTTGAGTAGGCCAATCCTGTGATATGGACATTACTTGACCCGATTAGGTGACTAGGGCAAAACGTGTTAACAGGTTGGTCTGAATCTTTTGCAGCATTCCATTGACATTTTCTTATGTCGTAAACACGTGCATATTCATCTGATCCACCAACTGCAAAGTAATACGGAATTCTAGAGTCAATCACAATGGCATTCAACCCTATTTTTCTCGGAGGCTGTTTTTTGTTCCCTTTGGGTACGGAACAACAGAAAAGTTTTGTAGCTGAACTACTTCGCAAATCAAACTGCAAAAGAAACAAAACATATAACTTTTGGGGGAGCATAAAGGGGAACCTTCAACATGCAACTTGCTGTAATACTTGACTAACATGTTGAATAAACCCATCTTCACCACAACTATAAAATATGTGGGGACTTCCTGGCTCCACAGCAAGCTTGTATACAGAACCATCGTGCTTCCCCAACATTGTAGTGATAACTCTACCATCCTCCTGGAGAAGTCCAAGCCTTACCTGCAAAGGAAACATTAGTTTCCAATATTATACTTTATGTTTCTGTTAACTCGGGTCCCTCAGCATGTCATTTCTTTCTTACATTATTCGGATAAGGAGCCAGATGCACCATATCTTGATAAAATTAACCATCAAAAAGACGTAACTCGTACAAACAACTTTAACTGAATATGCTTAATTACAAAACAGTATTCTATGCACACTAGTTGACAGCATTTTCTAACTTCTAGCATTGTTGGCTACTTTGAAAGAAATGAAGCTGTGTTCAGCACAACAGATACGAGGTGAAGATTGATAACAAATTCTTCTTTCACCAGATATATTTAACTAAATAAAAAAACCAGTAATCCAATTTTCTTTCTAGTTCTAAAGATTGGAAAAACGTCTAGTAAAAGAGCATCGTATCGGACAATAAAAATCAACCGGATCAATGACTTAATTTTAAGAGTTTTGTTCTAAGCCGTCTGCAAGGCCCATGGCAAATGGCCCAAGAGTAAAAACTCCAAGAAGAAAGGTGCATAGAGCAGGTAGGCCTTCACACTGACCAAAAGCACACAATTCAATTAGACGGCTATCTGCATAGCACGCGAACAATCTCAACCGCTCTTGATATATAAAGGGAAAGCACGCCATTTCAGATGTTCAAATTCATTCTCGCTCTCACATTACTTCTCATTCTTTCACTGAATTGAACATTAAAGTGTTAACCATGCAAGTCAGTCCTACTCTATCGCATCAGATGTATTACTCCACTGAAGTGTAATACAACTCCACCACCTCATCTTCTGTTTCTAGTTCTCAGCCGAACAAGTTTTATATGGATACATTGTCAATCTAAAACTGTTTACTCTTCAAGACAGCCTTTAAAATAATCTTAATTAAAATCAAACATTTTTAACAATCCAATGATACAATATAAAAGATCTTTAGCATTACAATGCATGTGATTAAGTACATGATTAACACGATACCGGAACATTCAATAAAGACATAAAAAAACAATTCACCTGACCATCACCAGCCGAAGTCACAATCCGACTATCATCACTAAACGGCATAATCTTAGTCTGGAAAACATTGTCTTCATGACCAGAAATATAATCAAAAACTTTACTTTTTGATTCCCAATTCCAAAACATAATTTGTCTATCATCAGAACCAGAGACAATAACATCACCAGTGGAGTTAAACTCCACTGCATTAACACATCCTTCATGACCCTCTAGTTTTGCATATAAATTCAAACTCTTTACAAGAACCTGCAATCATAAATAAATAAATAAATAAACCTAATCAGTTCTATATATTCATAATAATAGCAACTCTTCCGAAAGAAAAACACGTTTAGAGAGAGGATTGGGAGAACCTGAGAAGCGTAAAAGTGATGAGTGAAAGAGGATGGATGAGAGAAGCCTAACTCTCTGTTGATAATGTTGTTTGAAAAGCAATGTTTATGGAGATTGTTCATTTTTGTTTGATGAATTTTTGGAGTATGTGTTTAGTTGGAGATGTAGAGGTGGTGGAAACTTGGTTCTGGAATAAACGAGTTATAACTGAAGAGTGAAAGATTCTACGCTACCTTTGTCTTTGGTATTTTTGGACCACTTTTTTATGGTTTGGATCACCTTTATATAGCAATAGTCAATAGAATCCTTTTTTCTTTCTCATTTTTCTTTCTTTAAATTTAATCTCTAAAATAGACTTAAAATTATACTCAATTTTTTTTTTTTAGGTTAAATATATTTTTGATCCTTCTAAATATTACAGTTTTTTTTTTAATCACTTTAAATATTTTTTGAGAATTTTTTGTGACACCTAATACTCTTCTTTTAGAATTTTTGACGAAAAACTCAAAATATTCTTAAAATTCGGATATGCACATCCGAAAGTATTTCATTTTTAAAATGAAAAAATAGGTTCGGATATACATATCCGAATACACCTCATTTTTTACGAAAAAAATGGTTTCGGATATATATATATATATATATATATATATATATATATATATATATATATATATATATATATATATATATATATATATATATATATATATATATATATATATATATATATATATATATATATATATATATATATATATATATATATATATATATATATATATCCAAATTTTACAAAAAAAATGAGATGCGTTCGGATATGCATATCTGAATACACACTCATTTTTTATGAAAAAACTGGTTTCAGATATGCATATTCGAATTTTACTCTGATATAAAGATTTTAAAAATACAACTAAAATTTTTACTCTGATATGCATATCGCGTAAATGTCAGAGAGGCAGGAACGCAAGGTATAGAACACCAAAATTTATTGGTTACATTTTATTTTGTTATAAAATATATCAATTGTTACATTTCACCATTATAATTAGAAATTTAATTATTGCATTCATTGTTTAATTTCATATCATAAATTTACTTTAATATTTGATTTTCAATTATAAATTTAAGTTATTCTTTATTAATAATAATTCAATTTAATTATATTATAACTATATTATAAATAAATATCTTTTCAAAATAAAATCAAAAGAAATTTAGGATATTGAGTTATTTCGGATATACATATCTGAAATCTCTCTGAAAATGAAAAATAAGGGTTCCTTCAGATATACATATCTGAAATAATCCAATATCTCAAATTCACAAGGTGCATTCGGATGTGCATATTCGAATGGTATTTTTGGGTTTTCAGTGGTGAAAATAACCACTACTAAGTGTAAAGAGAAATTCTCATATATTTTTTAAAGAATGGTCTTTTAAAAAAATTATCCATAGAATTAGTCTCTAATGTTAAATGGGACTAACGGGCGGAGACGTAGGAGTCCACGTATATATTTAAATTTAATTTTTTATTTTATTGTAATTAAAATATATTATTTGAGATATTACCCGTTATATAGCCAAAGAAAATCTGATAAATAATTGACTTTGTACATTTCAATTTTAACCTAGCTTTCATCTTCTTCATCGTTGTCGCTTCTCTTCATGACATAACCAAAGAAAATTTGATCCATCTCCTTATCTTTATCATTCGTCTCCTTATTCAATGGGTTATTCGAAGTCAATCTCATCGAAAGGTGTTTCTTTTTCATCTTCATCTGTAAAATTTTGAGCTGAACATTTATGTGGTTGCAAGGGTCGAATGATATCATATCAATGCAAGAATGGACCAAATAAAGAGAGACTATTTTCAAGATGTCCTTTTTGAGAGAGTGGTGAGACATGTAACTTGTTTATACGGGATGAAGACATTGGAGATAAATTTGGAAATCAAGATGTGAGCGTGTTCAAGTCAGAGTTTGAAGATATGGAAGCAATGGGATATTTGAAAGAGTTGTATGAGGATATAAAGAAAAAGAACAAAAAATTGAAGACCAAACTCAAAGCAGAAAAATTTTCTGGAAAATGAAAATGTCGTGTTTTGTTATTTCCTTGATGTTTAATGTCTCTTTTGTTTTGAAATGTAATTGTTGATGAAATGTATCTTTAATGTTTATAAGGAATATTTTGTGTGATAATGTATCAATTATGTGTCTTTGGTTAAATTATCTTTGGTTAGTGTATCTTTGGTTAATGTGTTAATGTATCTGTGAAGTATCATTGGTAATGAATCTCTAGCACAATTGTTACAATTTTCATACCATATATTTCAACATAACAAGATAGATGTTCCAAACAACATATTCTAAAACAGAACTTCTTGACAATACATAAGTTTGATGTTCCTCACAAAAGAGTACATATGTTTAATATTACAATAAGATTCGTGTCCAAAACAAATGAGTACATAATGAAATTATCCAAAACAAAAGAGTGCATAATGAACTAAAAATCACATATTTCATAGCATAAATTCACTTAGTCAAGCTCTTATGATGTCATTCTAAGACTTCTTCCCCTTAGCACTACCAACATCTATTCTTCTTCAGGAATCATAGTGGACCCTCAACTTGCTTCTCTGGTCCCTATAGCGGTGAAAATCGGAGATCAAGCTATTAATTAACTTGACTCACAAATAAGCAAGAGTCGCCACCGCGCTTTATTATTTTCAAGGGAAACGGGAAAAGTGCGAAATAAAACCCATAAATATATAAAGTATGAATAATACTAAAAAGTAAAAAAAAAATACAATGCATTTGAAAAGATCGAAGGTTCGGGGGTTGGTTATACAAAGGGAATGTACTAGCATCCTATGTATCTATAGTATCCTATATGAACCTTTTGAAATATCTATTTTTTTCGTTAAAATTGGTTTGCTTGCAAAATGAGTGTGGGGATGAGATCTTGAAGATGTGACGACTAAGTGTCGAAGTTTTAGCTTAAATGAGTGTAAGTTTGAAAATTGAGTTTTTAGGAGATTTAACTTAAGATTAACACAAAGTAAAAAAATATATGAAGGAGTTTCGCATAATCATATAAAATAAATGATGACATGAAGTCAACAAATTTGATTTATTCCCTTGGAGTTAGACGCAAACAAAAATATAAAGACTAAATAATCAAAAATAAATTAAATAAATAACAATTAAATAACTAAATAATTAACAACCAAAAATTAATTAAAATAAAAAAGACAAAATTATACTAATATATACTTTTGGTATTTTTTAATGAGGGAAAGAATGAAATAATTATAAACCTAATCTAATATTTTTGTCTTTATGAAATTTTAATGAAATAAAGCTAAAAAACTTGAAAATTATAAATAAAAATAAAGGAGAACAACCAGGGATCGAACTCAGGTTCCCTAGGTTATAACAGATTTGCCTTACCACTACATTGCACTTACCTTCTGTTATATTCATGCTTTAAATAAAATAAGAAGACAAATGTTGATTAGGTTTGGAAAAGTAGAACTAGGGATGCATTTAAACAAAATCCACTGGGTCTTAAAAGGGGATAAAAGATCAAGGCCCAGGATATAACAAGATCAGAAAGAAAAATAATAAATAAAAAAAACACTATTGGACTGGACTGGTCGGGTCCGGACCCAATTCCCTATCTAGGCCTAACACGGGTTATTAACCCTAACCAAAACACAAGTATCCTCGAGTGGCCGCAGAAGAGAAGAGATACAAAGTATCTTCTTCACTCCCAAACTTCCTCTATATCTTTTTCATAGCTCTCGTCATCTATCTCAAATATTTTCCCTAAATCGTACTAACAACAAAGACCTCTATATCTTCTCTTTATTTCGTCTGCATGTCCACTCCGCTTTCACGGTTAAACACCAACATCAATTTTTATCAGTTTTATATCTGTTCGGAAAGAAAACAACATGGCAGGGATATCACTCATCTCAATATTTTGTACACTAACATTTCTCTCAGATTGCTACTCAACAGTAAACAGACAACCCTTACATTTTTTAAGACAATTTTTCCTATTCAACGTCTTTGTTTTCTAATGAACTGAAAGATAAAAAAAGTTCAATGTCGGGATGCAAACATGATAACAGGAGTATGTGAATGATTCACAAAGTGATAGCATCAAAAACAATATTCAAGAGATAATCTATTTAACAAAATGATAGGGTGTTGTGAAAATATTACCGATTTGAATATTATTAGAGAGACAAACCTTCGAGGTAGTTTCTTTGTCGCTATTTTGTGTTGTTGACTTTGAAACTTGTCGGTCTCTAGAGATTTTTAGTTTTCAAGTTATAATGATAGTTGTACTTGAATGTTTGTGAAACCGGGTGAAAGTTGTGAGTTGCTGAGGATATGTTACAGATTAAAGGAATTTGAGCAGAGATTTTGAAGGTGAGGGTTTATGGTTTAGCATAGATGAGTGTTTTTTTCTACTGCTCTTATATGTATTTCTTAATGGAATTTTCCCTCTGATATATCTATTTTTCTCTCTATTTTCTCAATATTTATGTTGTGACTCTTGGTGTGTGTTTAACAAACTTCCTCCCTTTTTCTGTTGATGAAGGTCTCTATTTATAGTGAAGCATATGGGGTTTTAGGGGGGGGGGATTGTGATATTTTAAACTGTTTTGGGCACTGGGTTATGGCTTTCTGAGACAGCTTTTAGGGTGTACCATTTTAGTGTAACTCTTGATCTGTTCTGCTTGGTGTTTGTGTGCAGGTTGAAGCAGATTTTTGTAGGTTATATTATAGATTTGTGGACAGATATATAACAGGGAAACATCATTGTTTCCTTGTGTGCAACAGGCTTTGGAGTAGCTTGGACAAGGACTATTTTTTCATATTGCAGCAGCTTTTATGGTGCACATTTGGACTAGTTTTTTGGACCATAAGGTCATTGTTTTGTGCAGGTTTTGAAGTGGAGTGGCAGCATGTTTAGGGCATTAGAATTAGGCTATTTGATAAATTTTCATGTAATCTCCTTATATCCCTCTTGCAAATGTATATTGTAAGTAAATGGAAATGTATCTTAAATGATGACTTTGAGAAATCCACTTTCATTCAAT